AACACGAAAGGTTATTATGCCAAAGGAATAGAATGAACCTAACTATTTACATATAACACAAGTTTAAAGACTTAGAAACTCTTAGTAAAATATAATCCCATTAATCCCAACAGCACACCTTCACAGTACTCACACGAGAGTGAATTACCTTTTCTATCACATCTATAGGGCTTAATTTAACTGTGATTTCAATTCTCTGTCTTTAGAATCTGATAGCCTCTTCCTTGAATCTTCATACAACTGAGCTTAGACTTTCCCAGTTTCTAATAACATCTTCAGGATTTTAACCAAACATTTCTAGTCTGGATCTTTCAAACCAAACCTCTTACATTGAGGTAATAGCTTAACAGTTCTAAGCTATCTCCCTTCTTTATGAGTCAGTGCTTTTCACATTTAATTTCAGCCAAGCAAAAATTGGAAAACTGCTCGACCCAAAAATACTTTCTTCAAGCTTTGGATGTTTCCCATAAGCCACCAAAAAATCCAGAATGTTTTAACTGAAACCTAATGCATAACTATCTGCTTGTAAATCTTTCCCAATGAAAACAAAACCCCATTAGCCTCCAAGAACTCTCTCTCTAATACAGTATCTCAAAATAAATCACCATGGCTGTAAGTAATTCAATAATTCAACCTCTTCAGACATCAATGAAACTCATGTGCCACTAGAATAGAAAAGAAGAGAATAGGGTTTATTCTCACATATACTCAATGAGTACAGTGAAAAGTTTATACGTTGTCAATTGCAGCTAGTTCAAAATCCAAAATAAATCACATTAAAATATATAGGAATCATACAGATCACATCACAGTATATTTATGTAGTGGTTTAGAAAACAGAAGAAAAACATTTGATTTTGTACCAGGTGACCTAACTGCCCAGTTCTGTAGTATTTGCTTGTTTATGAATGGTACCTCTGGCAAAAAAAGACCAAGTTGACTGCTTGGTTCTGTGATTGTTACTGGCTACTTATAAATTGTCTAACAAATGGAACAAGCTGTAATCAGTTCAAGTTGGCTTGGATATTTGAGCTTAACAGCATGATTACCAGCAACTGTTACCATTTCCTTCACGGCTGCAAGATGTCTTTGAAGTGTAAAACCTCTGAGAGGGATGATATTGTGGACAGATTAGGCACAATGGGTATTTACTTTTACCTCATCATCAGTTCATCAACCAGGGTAACATCATAAACAGGCAGCTATACTATTTCTCTGGGATGTAAACCAATCTTCTGTAGAAGTTACAACTAAAGATGGAAAGAGCTCCACAGGCATTCTATCCCCAATACTTTCAATTATTCAGAATAACGATATAATACAACATGAAAAATGCTTATAAATTGATGATAGTTATAATATAAAATTATAAATATGGAACTATACTTTTGCATACTTCATACTAATTATTTTAAGTTCTACATTTGAACTTAATCTTAATCATACACGTCAAATCTGGCACATTGTAACAGTATTAGTGACAATCCTAAATAAAGGTACAATTGGAATTAGGTTTATTGTCACGAGTACAGGTGTACAGTGAAATGTGTACAACGTAATTCCCCTTACCTTGCACTGTTCATATGGTGTTTCTTCAGATTCTTGATAAACAACGCTGAATGAGATGCTCTTTGGATCAGAAGAAAAGATCCAGCTAATGGTCAGACCACACTCTTCAACGCCAATAGGGATGAGACTGTAGCAGCTGGCCTTAACAAAAAGCTCTCTATTGTGGTCTCCAAACTCCCTAATCTCATCTACCTTGAGGGGTATCTTGAGCCTAAAATGGAAACATAACTCAGTTTCTCCTCCCAACAATAACAGTGCGTAAGCATACCATATCCTTAATGCAGTAAAACCTCCCAAGGTGTTTCACAGGAGCATTCTCAAATAAAACCAAGTCACATAAAGAAGTACAGGTAACAAAAGGTTTTGTCAAGGAGGTACGTTTTAAGGAGCATTAATAAGCAGAGAAGTAGAGACACAAAGAGACGTTTAGAGAGAGGATAGGCAATGGGTGGAGTGCTTAAAATCAGTGACACAATAGAGGTCAGAATTGGTAGAGTGCAACAAACATGAAGAGTTGTTGGGCTGGAGGGCGTTATAGAGATTAGGGAAGTAGGGGGTGTGGGAGAAAGGCTGAGACCAGGGAGGGATCTGGAAACAAGAATGGGAATTTTAAACTTGAGGTGTTGTTAAACTAAACCAATATACATTAGTATGTAGAAGGTTGATGAGTAAATGGAGCTTGAGTCAGCAATTGGGCAGCAGAAACCTTCAAAGGGAACTGAAGTTTCCCAAGATTAGCAGCAATGCTGACATTCAGACTTGCTTTGTTCGAGCACTGATCCCTGATCTGGATGACAAATTATATTACAGTGTAGAATTCCAATTTCTGCTCTGAAAAAAATAAGATCTCCGAAATAAATCTGGAAAAAGAAATAGGTTTTGGTTTGGATTATGGAGTTTCAGATTCTCTCTACTGATATTCTATTTAACTTGTTTTGGAAAAGCTTGCCATTAAAACAAATCACTGTGCAATGTTAGTATTTTTAACACTAGTCTCTGTAAAAGGTAGGCAGGAAGTCTCTGAAGTAGGGGTACAATTACAAATGCTTGTTTTTATAAGAGATTAATTACAGTGGGTTCTGCTATAACATATGTTCCGTCAATATGAATTGGCTATAACGCGATTGATGAATAGGGGAACGCTATTTTTAAAACGCGAACTTGTGTTGGCTATAACATGATTCCATCGGTGGGCAGAGGAATACGTGTTGAAATCACATGATTGTTTCGCGGGCTTTGTCGTGAATACATACAATGTTAGCGCTGAAAGAGTTTCCGTGCTAGCATCATGTGATCATTTCACAGACTTTGTCGTGAAGGGCTTTCTGTGAGAGGTACAGTACAATCTCCTCCCCCATCAAGTCATCTTGACATTTTTTCAAGGTAATGTGTTAAATACACTTTTATCTCATTATTAGATACGAGTTAAACATTTAATTAAATTGTGCTATCCTTTGTGTTAGGGTTTTGAGCCATTTACAGTAGTGTTTTTTTTGATTGTCTGCCCCTAACCCCACTTTTCCCATTGGCCCCGATATTTCTATAGCGCGATTCTCGATAACGCGATGTCGCACAGGAACGCAACTATCGCGTTATAGCAGAACCTCCTGTTGTTTTTGAAGAAGTTAAATGTAGCGAATGTATTTTGATCACTCAGACTGCTTGTTTTGAAACGGGAAATTCACCATTAGAGCATTTAAGCCAGGAATCCCCAATTTTCTGGCTAAGTGTGGGGACGGTGTGTTCAAGTGGTAACTGATTGGCTTCCCCCATCACGAAGCTAGCTTATCAAGTTGCTAGCTAATCAGTGTAAGACCCGACTGGCAAGTCTCTTGGCCTATCGCATGGCTTGACCGCAGAATTCCAACATTCCAGAAGCTGCCGACCAATCAATGGAAGGATGTAGCTATATTGGAGGCAGTTCAGAGGGGTTGACTAGATTGATTCCAGAGATGAGGGGTCTGTCTTATGAAGAGAGATTGACCAGTTTAGGCCAATATTGTCTGGAGTTTAGAAGAATGAGAGGAGATCTAATTGAGGTATATAAGATACTAATATGGATAAAGGAGACGTAGAATGGATGTTTCCTCATCTGGGTAATCATGAGCGAGAGGTCGTAGTTTAAGGATAAGGGGTAGCAGATTTAAAACAGAGATGAAAATTACTTCTCTCAAAGGTTCGTGAATCTGTAGAATTCACTACCCAGAGTGTTGTGGATGCTAGGACATTGAGTAAATTTAAGGAGGAGACAGACGGATTTTTAATTAGTAAATCGTGGAAGGGTTATGAGGAGCAGGCAGGAAAGTGGAGTTGACGTTAGCCATGATCGTATCAACTGGCAGAGCAGGCTTGAGGGGCTGATTTGCTTACTCCTGCTCCTAGTTCTTATGTAATCTCATGTGCCACCGAGGAAAAGCAACAAAAATTAAGAAAATAGGGTGTCAAGGATGGATTGTCAGATTTCTCACGTTGAGATGGGGGGCTGTGTTGAAATGTTGTATTAGGTTAGATAAAAGAGGTACCTGATGAGGATAAGAGACAACAAGGTGCAGGGCTGGATGAACACAGCAGGCCAAGCAGCATCATAGGAGCAGAGAGGCTGACGTTTCGGGCCTAGACCCTTCATCAGAAAAGGGGGAGGGGAAGGGGGTTCTGAAATAAATAGGGAGAGAGTGGGAGGCGGATAGAAGATGGATAGAGGAGAGGATAGGTGGAGAGGAAACAAACAGGTCGAAGAGGCGGGGATGGGGCCAGGAAAGGTGAGTGTAGGTAGGGAGTTAGGAAGGG